CCATTTTGCTTTTTATCCTCTTTGTGTACTTGTTCATAATGCTCTAAATTTTTTCTATATAATCATTCTCTTGCCATCTTGATCGACTAACTGTTATGCAAAGAATATTCTATACTCCATCAACTTTCTACATGCTATTCTGAATGTTTCTTTTTCTAACACACTGTGTATCATTTTACTTGTACTATAAACCTGCCAAAGATCACCTTCTTCCTTTACTGTTACATTTATTTCTTTTGCCTTAAGTATAACTAAATACACTAAGTTATTCTTCCAAATATGCCATAAGTTGCTTAACAACTCTGCATCTAAGTTCTCTGATACTAATCCCACCAAAGCAAAGCCTTGTTTTACTCGTATTCTCATTATTTTATCAACTTGATTTAGCTTATTTAATCTTCTTTGCAATGATACCAACTGATTATTAAATATCTCTTGACTTAATGTCCTACATTTTCTTAAATCTTGATACATAATTGCACTGTTTTCTGTAGTCAATGCCAAACCTATTTTGTTATTGATTAATCTAATTACTGGTTGATATAAGTGTATTAGCTTCTTCTTAGATGCTCTTGTAGTTTGCAACATATATGTCAATTTTGGTAATATACATATATTATTAATGTATATTAACTGACTGATAGTTAACTTTTTAAATCGTATGCTATGCATAAACTGCTGTATAATTTTTCTTGCCTTCTTGATAACTAAATTTTTATTTGCTTCTATACTTAACCATACCTCTAACATTCTCATCAATGTATACTTCTCTTCAACTTGTAGTTGAAAATTGTTTATCAAAACATAATTTTTATTTTCTTCTGTATTTGAGTTAACTACCAACAGCTTTGACTTGGAACTATTGATTTGAATGTCATTGAATCTAAAGAACCTTTGCGAAATTTGAATGATCTCTTGCATCTTCTCTTTACTCTTTGCCACCCAAGTTGTATCATAAGCATATACAACTGCAGCTTGTCTTGCTTTTTTCACTTTAACTCTGTTCATTTGCAAGTCTAGCATTTTGAACATCTCAATTTCATACTCCAACTGCTGATCATCTTGAATTTTTCTTAATAATGAATTATAAAATATTCTCCAGACTAATAATGAAATTGTTTCTCCCTGCTCAATCCCATCTCCAGCAATAAATTTTTTTGTCAACCCAAACTCTGTTATAATGCTAACTTCTCTTTTGCTATATAACTCTATAATAAATCTTATAATTTCTGCTAGCAGCTTAATTCTTTATAATGCTAGCTGAAGTGACTTCATTGATACTAAGTTGTATGCCTTCTTCATGTTTTGCATCAACAACCACAACTCTTTATTGTTATCTTTTACATCTTCTCTTAACATTTCCACAATATGAATTGCTTCTTCTGTTGAGTTTCCAGATAGGTCAGCAAAGTTTGGACTCTTGAGTATCTCTTTTTTTTCATTATATGAGATATTCTTTTTGCTACTACCTTGGTTAAGCATTTTCTGAAAGTTTCTAATAGTGCAATTGGTCTAATGTTACAAAGCTTGTAACCCCATTTCTCACCCTTTGGGATTGGATATATTTGCACTAACTTCCACTTATATGGTATCTTTTCTAGTTTCAGACATGTATCTGTAACCTTTCTAAAGACTTCTTGTGTATTAACACTTGCACTTTTGATTAGTTTATATTCAATATTTGACATACTTAATGCTGTTTTATTTTTTGTTTTTCCTATTGCTTCTATCTATTTTTCAATTGTTATCTCTGCCTTTAACTCCTCATATCATTCTTCTCTAACTTTTGCCAGTGGCTTGTAAAACTCCTTAATCATTTCTTCATCTTTAATGATATTTCTCTTTTTGAACTGTTCACTAAAATGTTCTTTTGTTTGCTCTAATACTGCACTTGGTTTACTAATTAATACATGTCTATCTTCTTTCTGTTTTAACACCCAGTCGATTCTAATTTTGTTGTATAGTTTGTCTAGTATACTGAAAAGCATTCTTCCTACTTCTTTATTAATCCTCTTACATCTTCTATCTATTGCAGTATTAATTTCATTTTTTGTACACCTGTCTTCTTCTGTCTTCTCTGCTATTCTTAATGCCTGCTACTGCTTTTTTATTAACTGACACCACTTTTCAAGATCTGTTATTTTGCCTTCTTCTATATAACCTATTTCTAAGCCATATTCTCTATTTATCTTAACTATCTCTTTGTTAACTTTCTCTAAGTTTAGTTTAATTCTTTCTTCCTTTACCAACTTCTTAGTTTTCTGCAATAGTTTACTCAGTGCTACTATTCCTTTGTGCAATATTGTCATTCTTTTCTTTCTTCCAATTTTGCTATTTCTTTGGATTATCTTCTTTTTCAGTATATTTCTGTTTGCTGTGTCTTTTATTGCACAAGATATTATGTCTCATACTTTATCTATATTAGTGCTATATCCAACTTCTTCAAATACTTTAAGTCTACTGTTTTTAGCTAAATAATTTTCAAGATCTACTTGGTAATCTTCCCAATTTTCTTTTGTCGCCTTCTCATACAAATAAATTGTTCTTGTTATGTCTTTTTTCTTCATTTCTGTTACACTATATGTTTGAATTAAATGTTTAAACATCAACATTCTACAAACAATATTATAATTACTTGATGTTATATATTCTGTATCAACTATTTCTGCCTGTTCTAAACCTGGTTGTAGATTTTCTGTAATCCATATTTGGTCAATTCTTGTTTGTACGTCATTTCCTGCCCAAGTAAAACCTCTTAATTCTAAGTTGCAAATTCTATACGTATTACCAAATCCCTGTCTCATCATCCATTTATGTAGTGAAAGTGTTCTACTACAATTATTTTCACTACTACTCAACTTATCTAACTTGCTATCTACTACATAATTAAAGTTTCCTATTACTATAAACTGTGAGTTACTTGCTCTCTCTATATAAATATTTACAATTCTTTGTTGCAACTTTTTTGTTTTTTCTTTGTTACTTGGAGGAATATATACTACAATTATTGTCAATTCAACTTGTTTAAAGTAGAACTTTGCTTCAATCAAGTATTCCTCAAATCTACAAATTTCTTCTATATGTTTCTCCTATTTTTGGCTTATCAATAACCCAACACCTGATCCTTTCTTCTTTATAATTTCACTTTGCGACCAAATGTCTTTATAATAATTATTCTCTAAACTATATTTCAGCTCTTTACTATTGCTATTTGTTTCTACTAATCCTAAAATATCTACTTCTTTTTCATTTGCCCACTTAACTATTGTTCTTAGTTTGATCTTGTTACGCTTTATTCCATTTATGTTGTGACATGCTATCTTAGTACTTGTTATTATCTTTTCACTCTTATCATATCTGCTTACAATATGTGCTAATTTTTCACTACTGCTTTCTAACTCTATATTTGACAGAGTGGACAGTTCTTTTTGAAAGACACCTATGGCAACTCTCAGGAGCAATTTGGGAGCATGCTCTCTAATTGTCTTTCTTTAATGTTGTCAAGTCTTCTTAATATTCTACTAAGAACCTCTTGTAGTTCACTTTTTTCCTCCTTTATGTCGACTGCTTTCATCTGCATACTATCATTGTGTTTCCTGTAGACTTTTTTATTTTTTCTTTGCTGATTCTCTTTGTTACTCTTTTCTTTCTTCATATTTCTTTGACTTTTCGATTGTCCTCCATACTGTATGCTTCTATTCATGAACTGTTCTTTAACATCTTTGTTCTCTTTTCTTTTGGTTTCTATGTTTTTGAATGCTCTTCTGTTACACCAATCTAGTCTTGTGTTATAATAGTATAGCTTCTTATTGGTGGCTATTAGTAAGTCTTCTTCTGTTTCAAAGTAGACTGATGCAGTTTTCTATTGATTTTTGTTTCTATTTACTAAAATATAAACTGCTTTCGCCTTTACAACCTTTAGTTGTCTTAACAATAACACCTCTATTGCTGTTGTTAGGACATTTTTGATTATTGCCTTATGTGTTGCTCTACTTTCTAATATCTTTCTTGCAAAAGTACCTAAGGTAACTCTACACATTTTGCCTTCTTCAAAGTGCACTGACCATGCCTGGTCAAGCATCGATTTTCTATTCTCATTTTTAAACTCAATAGTGAACATTGCTGCTTTGTTATTACCACAACTTTTCTATTAAATGAACCTAATTCTACTATAAAACTGAAGACACTTTCTAACACATGTTGGTCTTACATCTACTGGGATGTCTCACATTGTATAGATATTGTCCTTTAACTTGCTATCTACATGCATTCTTGTTGGCTCCTCTGTATAACTTTGTTCTTTTATTTGTTCATTTCATATTTGTTCACTGTTTGTAGTTACTTTAGTTTTCTTTTTTTCTTTGTGTTCTACTTTTATTTCGTCTGTCTTTGTTTTTTTGCTTGTCTCTATATTATTAACTATGTTCTTTTGCTGCTTGTTTTCTTCTATTTTGACTTCTTTTTCTTCTTCATTTACTATTACTAAGCTCTTTCTTACTTGCTTCTCTAGTGTGCTATAATCTATATATCCACATTCTTGCTTTAACTATATCTCTTTCTTTTCTTTATCTTCACTTAATTGCTCTATACTATTCTTTTTTGGTTTTTCACTGTCTCTTACTCATATATACTCACAGTAATTATATACTTCAATTAGATTTCTAAATACACAAACTAAGACTGCTTCAGTGCTGACTAGTTTGGCTAATTCTTCATTTTTTCTTAATACTTTTGACTTATGACTATCTAATAATTCTTTCTGTATTCTGTCAGATTTGTTAAACATATTACAATACTTTTCTAATTTCTTACACCAGTCAATCTCTGTAGATACTGATTGAACTTTTTGTATTACACTTTTCTGCATTATTGCTATATCTTATCTGTATAAATTTACATGTGTCTTACTATATATATCTATATTTATTTGTTTATCTGCGAAATTGCGTATTTGTTTATTTGTTTTGTTGTGTTTACTGTTTACTCTGTCTTGCTTAGGGATGGCCAATTATATGATACCATATAAAAAAAATGGTATAATAACCATATAATTGGTATAATATAATTAAAATTATACTGTATAATTGGTATCTTATAATTGTGTAACAAAATCAGCGAATAAAAATTTTTTAAATTTTTATCATTAAAAAATTAAGATTTTTACAAGTAACAATAATAATAGTATCGATACATAATGGGAAAAAGAAAGACTGCTGTGTGGAAACATTGAACAGTTCTTCCAAAAAATTCAACTAAAAACCAAGACAATAATCAAGCTGAAGACCAAACTGAAGACCAAGCTGAGAACCAAGATGAAGATCAAGCTGAAGACCAAATTGAAAATCATAATAAACTATATTCTCATGTAAAATGCAAATATTGTCCAAAAATTTTTGACTGTGGAATTGCTACTCGAATGCAAGCACATCTTAATAATACTTGTTTAGGAGCACCAGAAAATGTCAAATCAAATTCTAAAAAAAAATATTCAACCTAATATATCAATACCTCATATTTCTACTAGTTCGCATATTCCAAAACAATCAAAAACTATACCAATTAATAATTTTATAAATCATTTAGATAATGAAGAACAAGAATCTCTTGAGTATATGTTAGCACAAGCTTTGTTTGCAACAGGAGTACTGTTTTCATTTCTTGATAATCCTTATGTGATTAAATTTTTTCAACATATTTACCCTGCATTCAAATTACTAAATCAGAAAAAGCTTGCAGATAAGTTAGTAGATAAAGTTTATGAGGATGTAAAAAAGGAATCTGATAAACAAATTTTAGAAGCACAAAGTTTATGCATGATCTCTGATGGCTGGTCCAATATTAATCAGGAATCTGTACAAAATTTTATTGTTTGTACTCCAAAATCTTTTTTTTTGAGGCTGTTTACTCAGAAAAAGAATCTCATACAGCAGAATAGATTGCTAATCAAATAATTCGACAAATAGAAGCAATTAATATTGAGAAATTCTCAGCAGTTATAATGGATACAGCCAATGTAATAAAAGCAGCATAGCATATTATTGAAGAAAAATATTCTAAAATTGTTTGTTTTGGATATGCTTTCCATACTTTAAATTTATTAATTAAAGATATTTTGAAAATTTATAACATAAAGTCAGTAATAAATAATGCAACAAAATTGGTTAAATATTTTAAATCACATCCACAAGCATTAGCAAAACTTAGATGAATTCAATTAGATAACTATAATAAAGAAATTGCATTAGTTTTACCAGTAATAACATGATGGAGTACTTATCTTGAATGTCTTCAATCGCTTCAAAAATCAAGAACTGCAATAGAACAAACGTTAATGGATTCAAGAATTTGTGAAACAATAGATGCAAGTCTTAGAATTTATGCACTATGCGATAAATTTTAGGAAGATTTAGATTTGATAACAAATATTTTACAACCAATCATAGTTATATTAAAAATATTTGAATCAGATAATACTATGCTTTCATCTATTTACTCTAATTTTAGAAAAATAATAAATACAATTCAAGATATTTTATGCAATTTTTTAAATAAAATTCAATCTTGTATTGAAGCATGATGGAATTATGTTTATCATTTAATTATGATGGTTGCTTATATGCTTGACTCACGATTTTTAGAAGAAAGCAGAATTTGCAATATAGAGCTTATAGAATACAATACATTTAATACATTTACAAATCAAAAATTTGGACAAGAAAAATCTGTAGAATTGTTTGTTGAAATTGTTAAATTTCGAAACAAAAGTTCTCCATATGATGATTATATTATTTAGGAATCAGCAGCTACACTTAACCTAGGTATCTTTTTATCTAAATAATATTGACTTACATATTTTTATAAATTACTAACTTTGTATATAAATTTATTAATTTTTATAGCATTGTGGTAGGAATTATGGCCTGATAGTAGTCTAAGTTCTTAAAATTTTAACATCATCTGCTACAGCTAAATGAAATTTTTCTACATTTGGCTTTATATATAGTAAACTTTGCAATCACTTAAACAACAGTTAAGTTAAAAAGCTAGTTTATATCTATGAAAATCTTTGAATGTGTGTTAAAAAACCAGTAAATTGCAAGAATAGAATTAAAATTAATAATAGCAAGACCAATCAAGAAATTAATCATGAAATTTATGATGATATTAGAGAAATAGAAAATATAATTTACACAGAAGGAATTTGTGGAAATATCGATGAAACTAAACAAATTTATTCATCTGATATTGAAAATAATTCAACGATAGAATTGGAATCGAAATATGGCATAATTAATACCTAATAATTTTGCAAAATAATAAAAAATCTTTTTTTAGAATTATTATTGATTTTTAATTCTCAGATTTTTATTTTAATATACATAGAATATATCACAAATATATTTTAAGATACATGAGCATCTATATATATATTAAATTTTCATATTTGAATTAATATGTATTCAACTATAATTTTTTTTTTCTCAAAAAAATAAAAATTGCAGCAGTAGAGAATATACATACGCACATATATACCTTTTATCTATAACTGATAAGCAGTTTTACTATGTAAATTCAATAATGATAAATAAAAATTATATAGTTATGTGATTGATTTTAATATAACTTACCTATATACTGTTATTATATGGTAATTATACAGTATAATAACCTAGTATTTATACTAAATTTTATTATACAGTATAATTTCCAACTCTAGTCTTGCTTTATGTGTCACATGTAAGCTTTACAGTATAGGGTTTCTGTGTATTTCCTTTTTTCAACAAAAAAATTATCATCAAAGAGCAAAATTTTTTCTAAAAGTCAAGACTAGCTATTATATTGTTGTTAGTCTGGTTTACTATTCTAATAAACTCTATCTAATTTCTTCTTAGCTTTAACTTTGTTTAGTTAACAACAATGCTTTTACTTGCTAGCTTTTGTGTTTTTTATACTTTTTTTTCTGTTCTGATTTTGGTTATGAAGATTAGCAAAAAGAGTTCATTGAATTTGTATTTTTTATATATTAAATTTATATTAAATTATAATGAATTTTTATTTTTTATATATTAAATTTATATTAAATTATAATAAATCTGTATTTTTATAAATTGAATTTATATTAAATCATAATGAATTTATATTTTTTATATGTTGAATTTATATTGAATTATAATGAATTTTTATTTTTATATATTGAATTTATATTTAATAATAACAAATTTTTATTTTTTTATATATTAAATTTATATTAAATTATATTTTTTATATATTAAATTTATATTGAATTTATCATTTTTTATATTTTTAATATAATGAATTTATATTTAATAATA